ACACTATAGAGATGACATAATAAAGCCACAAGGCAGAAAGTAAATTAATAAAATTGGGTTAATTTATGTTATAAGAACTAGTTAGAAATAAGCCTAAGCTATCGGCCAAGTTTTCATAAATAATAAGTCTGTGTCATTATTGGAGAATCAGCAGTTCTGACAAAAAAGTTGTAATATTACCAAGTACAGATTGAGTATTCCTAATCTAAATACCAAATTTTTAAGTGGATTCAAAGTCAGCATATCCAGCTGGATTGATAAAATGTACACATATATTCCAGAATTTGACAAATTGAAATTTCAAATACTTGCCCCACGTATTTTGGATAAAAAATAATCTGTATTTTCTCCATCACTCAAGTTTTCCCAATTATACATATTAGTGTGGCATCAACTTTCATTGTATAGTTATAAAAAATAAGTAACAAAATCTGTAAGCTAAGCATGACAGTACACACATTGAATCCCAGTACTCAGGAGAAGCAAGAGAAATAATGAGTTCTAGGCCAAGGAAGCTGAGCTACATAGCAAGAAACGTGGAAGGAATGAATGGCTTGTGTGTATATGTGTGCGTGTACATATGTATGTGGGGAGTGGAGGAGTGTGCGTATGTGTGCATGCACATGCATGCGCTAATGATTAGTATATCTGGGGAACTAAGACTTTGCCTTGCTACCCCTCAAAAACAAAACGAAGCCAACAGTTATGATAATTTTTTGCACATAAATAAATCTGAAAATTTATGAGACAGAATTCCATCTCAGATCTACCGTTACGTAGTTATGTGAACCTAAGATGCTACTCAGAATTTTGTTTCTATACCTGACAGGGTTCCCTCTGGCATTAATGATTATTGTATCATAAATATAATAGCAACCATCAACACTACAAAGTAAGCATCAAACTTTCCAACCAGATTATGTTAAGAAATTTCAATGCCATTCTTCCATTTACTTTCAGTATTTTAATTCCTCAAACAACTATACTATGAATCTGAAAAGGTTACCTACACATCTCTATAGACTAATTTTTATCTTATTTCTCTGAACAATACCTCATCTATTTCCCCCGTGTTCTTTTATTAACTCATTTTTAAAAAGTACAATTACCTAAATGCTTCAAATCCTGCTGAAAGTGTGAAGACATTTAAAAAAAGATAATCATTAAGCTGTTCTAACAACTATTTTTAACTTCCTCTAAAACAAAACATACTGCACGTGATCCCACAGCACTACACCTGCAAGCATCAACACACTCAAACACCACACCATAACCTGCACTGATGTGCAGTATCACATCAGACAACAGTAACTAAAAACTGTTTCTAGCTGAAAGGCAATTTATCATTTTATTCTTATGGTTGCAACTTGCATTTGCCTTTTTTCCTATCTTGACTCTCCCATGAAAAACATTCTCACCATTGACAACTATCAACCAGTATCAAATATTCAGTCAAGACTTAATTCCTTAGATAAAAATATCTATTTTAATTTGCAATTTGTCTTTAATAAATTACATATGTAATCGAAAAACAGTTGAAAATACATTTTCTTTATGAGTGATTATCGGTAATTGTTTGATTTATATGCTTGTGTGTTTGACACCTTTGTAACAAAAATGGGCAAAAAGGGTCAGGAGTGGAAAAAGTTTAAGCCCTGCCCTAAAGCAGCACTTGAGCTCAACAGACAGCACACCTATTATCCCAGTATTCAAGACAACAGTTCTAAAGACCAACCTGCGGCACACTGTAAGAGTTTGTCTCAAATAAGTAAATAAACAAAAAAATTAAGTAAAATAGTTTTCTGAGCCAGTGACATGGCCATCCCTATAATACCAGCTACTCAGGATCCTCAAACAGAATGATCACTTGAGACCAAAAATTCAACCTCATCTTGGGCAACATCTTGAGATCTTTGATTTAAAAAAAAAAAAAAAAAAAAACAGCAAAACATTAATCTCCTGCTACCAATAAGGGTATAAGGGTATCCCTATACCAAAAGAATTAGTAAGAATTTTCTTTTATGATAAGAAAATTATAGTTATTTGGCAGAATTATTTATTTATTGGAATACAATATGTGCTGGCCTAGCCAAAATGAATCAGATCTCAAGGTTTAGGGAGACCTGGCTTCAAAGGAACGAGATGAAAAGTGACAAGAGAACACCTGACAGTCTTTTTTTTTTTTTATACCATACACACAGGCATGAACATTCACACATACGTGAGCAAACATCATCACATGTGTGTATCACGCTTCACACATACATACACACACATCAAATAGAAAAGAAGATGATGGAACCATTAGTACAGTGGTTCTCAATCTTCCTAACAATGCAACCCTTTAAACAATTCCTTTTGTTGTGGTGACCCCCAACCTAAATCCTAACTGTAACTTTGATACTGTTATGAATCATCCCATGAAAGAGAACCACTGCACTAGACAGAGGGAACTGAGTCCCCTGAACATTGCATGGAGCTGAGCTTCCCTACAACCCACTTCAGACTGTGACATCAAGAATAAATCTTATTTTAAAAAGAAAGGAGTGAATTTGCATAATCAGTGGTAAATTTTAAAACCATACTAGAAAATTTGCCAAGGGAGACATACAGCTTGGTAGTAGAAAACTTGTCTAACAACTGGAAAGCTCTGAGTTTGATTCCCAGCACTAAAAATATTATGAAAGTTAAATATAACTCAACAGGTTATATCAAGAAATATATATGTACATACGAATATCTATATGCATTCAGTAATGAAAAGAGACTAAATTTGAAGGTTGTCAGGGAGATATATATGGGAGGGTTTGGAGGGAGGAATGGGGAGGGAGAAATTAATGTAATTATTTGTAATTAAATTACAATCTCAAAAATAACAAAGATATATATAAATATGAGAAGTATAGAAGACTTTTTAGAATATGAACAACTTGGTCAAATTTTATGTTTCTTTCTAAATATATTTTAAAATAATGAAAATCACTAATAGACTTTCCACAAACAAAATTGTCCCCCAAATAATCACACTTGGTCTTAAAAATTTAGTGTGAGAATTTGTATTTTTCCATTCAACTTTGCTCTCAACTTTAAATTCCTCTTTAAAAGCCTAGAGGGATTGATCACCACAAATCAAGGGTAGCTTGGACAATGTGGCGAGTTCCAAACCATCCTACACTAGGAAGACAGCCTGTCTTTAAAGAATAAAATAAAATAAATGAATCCACTGGAAATAATTTAAGAATAATATACTGGGACGGGAGAGATGGCTCAGCAGCTCAAAGCACTTGCTGTTCCTGCAGAGGAGCAGTATTTGGTTCCCACCACCCACAGAGCAGCAACCATCTGTAACTCCAGTTCCAGGAACTCTCATGCCCTCCCTCTTCTGGCCTCAGTCACTGAATATTGTCACCATGCACATACATACATGTAGGCAAACACTCATAAAATAAAAATAGCTAAAGCTTCAAATGCCTTTTAAAAAGAGTGAGGCAGAGGCAGGCAGATCTCTGAGTTCCAGCGTAGCCTGGTCTAAAGAGCTAGTTCAGGACAGCTAGTGCTGTTGCACAGAGAAACTGTGTCTCCAAAAAACCAAAAAGATTCTAAATATGCCTAAATTAATTCAATTACAAAAATGGTGCAGAACCACATTCTTTCAGTATTAAAAAATGTATTTTATTATTATAAAACATAATTTGGCAAAAAGGTATATTATACACAATGCTGCAAATTTTCTAACACTTCCAGAACATTCCTGGGACAGACTGCAATACAAAGACACAAACTAGAATGAAATTAGAAAGAGAGCTTACACTTTGTGCTGAATTTCACCATAGCTAGGAAGTTTGCAGACACAACGAACACCAAGCATTCTTTCATTTCCCAATCACATTAAAAGAGCAGAAAATGTAGCTTAAATCAAAAGTAGATTAGCATTTAAAAAATGTTTCCCTGATTCTTTTAAAGATATTTCTTAAGCCTCTTAAGAAGCTGACCCTCCCAAAGAAAACTTCTGAAGTGTTCAGAAAGTGTCAGTATATGAACCAAATCTTTTTCCCTAATATTCACCAATGTTGTTGAAATTCTAAAGGCCAATTATGACAGACTCGAAGGCTCTATAACACGTTTTGCCAATTATTGCCACTTCGCATTTCAACATCTTCTCATCGAGATCAACCTACATTTACAAATGCATACCCATTTCACTTATGAAAAGAACACATTAAGGACACAAGTCTAACTTAAAGGGGAAAGCCACGTGTCCTGATTATGTCCCAATTAACTATTAAAATTAATTTCCAAACAATACCGTATCAACCACCACCAACGTGCTGAGAGCAGTATTAATTTGTTTTAACATTTTTATACTGTCTCAGTACACGAATGCTAAGAAATAATCTGAAGGAAGCGGTGAGTGTTCAGTTATGTGCACCCTGAATTGCACCTGTAATTCACAGAACTTTCCGTACTCTGCAGCTTTCCAAAGGGATCTAGTCTTTTTCTGAATCATATCGCTCCCAGTAGACGGTAAACAGGGACTTGCAACTGCAGCAAAAACAAAGCATTCTGACTACTGAATTTCCAGCTTCCATTAATGCAATACCATTTAAACACGGTTCCCACTAAAATCTAGCTTGAGCAAGGAGCATGGGAGTTAGCATGGACGGTGGCTGCCTTTATAGTGCCAAGATCTGCTGAAGACCGGCCACTATCTCAATTAGGAAGGGGCCGAACCATATCCGGTTCTCACTGGCTACAGTTTCCCCAGCTTCCCATCTTAAAAGTTTACGTTGTCCCAGAAGAGCAATAAATACACGAGGTGGCCTGGGACAGTGCCTGTAGGGAAGATGACTGATCAAATTAAATCCCTATATATGGAACCTGAAACTTCAAAACTTTTTAAACAAATTACACCCGCAGGAGCATGGTATGTTTTGTTCCTTCTTGCCCATCTCTTTCATGGAGCCAGCTTCCACAATTCCTCAACAGCATTTCTGACTTACTGGTTAGTTGGAGGTGCGGTCAGCGGTATGGCCACCTCTTCCTCCTCATATTCTGGTCCATCCAGGGAGTCACCTTCATCCACCGTCCCCAGGCCGGAGCCCAAAGGGGGCAGCAGAGGAGGCGGCGGCAGAGGAGGGAACCCGCCACCCGGCCCGAGGGTCTCAGCAGCCAACGACAGAGTCCCCTTGGTGAAAGCAACATCTCCGGCAGGTCCGGCAGCAGCAGCACCCACCACGCCAGCAGTAGCACCGCCGGGCAGCGCGGCGCCCCCCAGGACACCCGCCACTGGCCCCGTCCCAAGGAACCCGGACCCCAACGCGGCTCCACCGCCCAGGGCCGCAGCCAGGTCGGTGTCCGCCAGGCCTGGGCAGGGGGCGGCGGCCACCGGCAGGGCCGCGGGTAACTTCACCCGGCATACCGACGGGTAGGCGCTGGAGCCCGCGGCCGCGCCTCCTCCGGCCCCCGCGGTCGCCGGGCCGCCTTCCTCACTGCCGGCCTCGGCCGCCATCATGTTGAAGCCCGCTCTCCTCTAGCTACCCCGGCCGCCCGGGAGCCCCGGGGGCCAGCAGGCCCGGGCTGCGAGCCGCCCCACCCAGGCGCGTCCCCTTGCAGCTTTCCAAGCAGAGGAAACAACAACAAAAGGAGAGCGCCCGCCGCCGCGCCCCCTCCTCCGGCCACAGCCCAAGTTCCGCGGCGGCTGGCTTACGGGAAGCGACGCGGGCAAAAAAGCCCAGCGCCTGCAGAAACGCTACCCGAGCTGGCCGCGCACACCCACACTCACGCGCACACATGCACAGGGCGCCAAACTTCCTGACTGCGCTAAAGAGGAAGGGGAGCCCGTGCAGCGGCCGGGGCAGCGCTGCCTCCTCCGCGGCCGCCGCGCCTCAAGGCCCGGGTTCCGGCCGCCCCCACCGCAGCCACCGCCGGGGCTGCCGGAGCCGCGGCCGCCGCAGCCTCATCTCCGCCGGCTGGAGACCCGAGCGCTGGGAGGGGCGGAGGAAGGGGGCGGGCGCGTAGAACCCGGCTCGACGGCTGCCTCCGGGCCGCTCTCGGGAGCGAAACCCGAGTGAGAGAGAGAAAGGAGGGCGGGCCGGGGAGGAAGGGAGGGGAGCAGGAGCCCGAGGCCTCTGCGCAGGCGCCTTCCGGGCGCGCGGCTGGTGGGCGGCGAGGGAAAAGCAGCCGGGCAGGAAGCGGCGGGCGCGCGCTCGGAGGCGTGGCACGCTCGCCAACCCAGCCGCGAGCGACGCGTGGCGCGGTCCCTCCACGCCTAGGGGCTCCGGGAGAGCTTACCTCGCCCGGCTTTGTTTGTTAACGGGGCGAGAATCTCCAGGCCCGAGGGACTGGAGGGACGAGGAGGCAGAGGGAAGGAAAGGATGATGCCAGGAAGTCCATTCCCTACTTTCTAACTTTTTAGAAAAATGGTCTCAGCCACCGGTGCAATCGGTAACGAAGGTCAAAGGAGTCCTAGCTTATTCCTTTTCGTTGCATGATATAAATAATTCAAACCTAGAATCTGGGAGTCAAGAAAAAAAAATGGTGAAAGGAGCCAGAGGAAACTGTGAAGGTTGAAACAGAGCCAGACTGCTACCACATAAGTTCCCTTTACGGGCCTTCTCTCGCACGTTTGCACAACAGATAGGAAGGAAGTGTGAAAAAAAAAAAAAGTGCCACAGAAAACAAATCATAAATGTAATTTGTCCTAGTTTGGATGCAAGATTCTGCAAGGCATATCAAAGTCTGAACTTTCCAAAACTACCAAACACAGATCGATGTCACCTTTAATGTAGCCAAAGGAAAGGTTTTGTTTATGTACGTGTGTGTATATAAATTCATACACACACTCACAAGGTATTATCTTTTGGAGTTCCATGGGGATAACTTTCAGAGCTCTGGTGAATTCCAGAGCATGATTATGATTTAATATCTTAGATAATTTGTGCATATTTTCCCATATGTTAAATCACTGATAGGTAATTTTCAATACTTAATATGACCTAAATTCCTTTATGTAATTATTGTTGAGGAATAAGAGCAAAAATAGTACACATTCAGTGCAGGTGCAATTTCTAAATGTTTTCATATAAGGTGTGTGCCACACACGAATATATAGTTAGATGATACAGAGAGCAGATAGTTTATAAAAATTCATAGAAAGAGGCCATTCTGATTATTTGAAATTATCTGTTTTAGGAATTTGTCCTTCAGGATTCATGGACTGTACTACCTTTTCGAGAAAGTCAGGTTGAATGCCGCTGAATACTGATCATATTTTCTCTGGAAAGTTTGACCAAACCAACCTGTTGAAGATGGCAAGAGGTTGAGGTACCAGAGAAAAGGGGGTGAGGGTACCATTAAAGGAAATGACAAGGTACATGCAGGACATCCCCACCATCAGGCTGCGTATTCCGGTATATGCTGTCTTTAGCAACAATCCAACACAAACAGTGGTGTGTGCCACTTCTGCAGTGTGTAAGCTGAGGAAGTGAAGGTAAGTTAGGTAAGGGAATGGTTCTACCCTGAGGTAGAACTCTGACCAATAATAACTTGTAAGAAACTTTCATCTTAGCCTTTCTGAAATGGAAAATGCACCATTTGTGTTTAAATGAGTCCTTCCAGTGATTGTTAACATCCTTAAATTTGAGAACTTCTATCTGTACTGCAATATGCTTATTAAGGCGGCACTTTGTCATTCATTAGGTGGATAGGTAAGATGTGGGTATTGGTTTGCTAAGGTCTGTACTATTTATTCTAAAACAGTTAGCAAATGAGAACAAAATGAAGCAGACCCATGATCATTGAAATAGTAATGAAATACTGCTTCTTATAGTGGGCTCCTTAGAACAGATTTTCTTTTAAATATAAACTAAAATCCCACCTATGCCTATTGAATGCCTGAAGCACAAATACAAACCAACTATCTTCAAAGCCAGAAGTTAAAAACCTGTGGTATATAAATTCTACTTCTCCAACTCTAAACCTCATCACCACCCTCGGAGACAGAAGTTAGGCTGTGAACTGGCTTGGGTTATTTGTGACCAGCTCTCCTTACTGTCTTCCTTGGTATATGTTCAAATGGCATCTTCCTGAAAATCCAGGTCAGGCTCTCTACTCTAATCACAAAGCTACCTCCTCCTTTTCTTAAAAGTCTTTAGCACTCAAGTATCAATATTTAATACAGTCTGATTCCTCTTACACACTTCCATATCTTTCCCAGTTATTTTTAAATATATGTAACTAGAAAACTTTGCTGTAGAAACAACCCATTGTCTACTTTTTCCCCTAGCTCAGTTCTGGATATGCTCACAGCTTTTAACAGAGCTTCATTCTTTAAAAGCATAAATAAACATCACCACACCTCTTTGGAAATAAATTTCATACTAGCAGTCAGTAACTAGTATATCTATTTGTAAATTGTGTGTTTGTGTGTGAGATAGTAATGTATAATATATATTTATTCCTATTTGCAGTGCCAGTCAACTCACTTTTAGAATATTTCAGTTTATATGCATGAGTGGTTTCCTTTTTTTTTTTTTTTGCCTGCATGCATGACTGTGTACCAAGTGCACGTGTTATCTGCAGAGTCCAGAAGAAGACATTGTGTCTTTCCCATGGAGGTCAGAAAAGGACTTCAGACCCTGGAGTTGCAGATGGTTGCTAGCTGCCATATGGGTGCTGGGAACTGAACCCAGGTCCCCTAGAAGAGCAGTCAGTGCCTTCAACTGCTGAGCCATCTTTCCAGTCCCTACTCTTTTTAAATCTCTAATGTCTTCTATGTCTTGTGACCTTTTAGTTTGCCCAAAATTATTTAATGTTCCTACTTCCTTTAGTTTTGCCTTTGGCCTTTTTTCCTTTTCTACCTTGCTCATATTTTCCCTGCTACTTCCTATTTTCATGTTGTGCTTCTATGGCTTCTTTTTCTTGTAAGTCCCTAAAGTTCTTGAAGCTTCATGAGTCAAAAACTGAAGAACAATTTTTACTTAAACACTGAAGTATTTGTTTGGAGAGGGAAGTGACAAACATTCTGCAGGAACTGGTGTTAGGTATGGACTTGTGTAATAACATCAAGTAACACAGGAAGTAAACAGTCTTAATTAAATTCACAGAGAGTATTAAAGGTCCTGGATGGCAGAACAGTTTTTACATTCGGTAAAATAACTGATTATATCTGTGATTTTACAAAATTTGTTTGGGTCATTTAGTATTAGTAAATGTATTTAATGATAAATAATAAAAACCTGGGAAAAGGCATTCATGAGGAGGTAATGAAAGTTTACAATATATTTGTTCTCATTTTATTATTAACTCAGATATTAATATAATACGCTCCTAACTATTTCTGTATCTTCCATATATCAAGTAGATAAAAAAAAAAAGGTAATCCTGATTCAGTCATTGAGCATAGCAGAGAACCTGAATGTGTTTATACAAATATGTGAAAATATGTTGATGGGACAGCTAAGTGAGAAGTAATATATTACTTATAACTATCTTTAGGAATTCCAAAGTGGGTTTGTGTCTACGCACATTCTCAGCTATCCCAATGGGTGTGTATATTTGTCTAATGGCAAAAGATTCCACTGAAGAAGCCATTATACCACTAACCCTGATATCCCCCACTGCATTTGTTGACATCCATTATGATCCCTCAGAGCATATTTTCTAATTAGGAGCATGTCTTGAAACTATAATGTTGAAGGGGCACAGGCTATGGGATCAGCAGAGTCACATAGGGACCAAAAGAAAAATGTCAGAGGTACCAGGGGGAACTTTGGAATCCGGTGCAGGACTAAGGCTAGCGCCAAGGTCTGCCTGCTTTCAGGCACAAAACCAGATAGCAATAACCTCCGAGTCAGAAAATGGGGAAGGCAGCCTCAGCTCTAGTGCAGAGAATAGTTTATCTAATGAGGAAGAACAGCTAATGAAGGAAATTAAGGTACTTCGGAAAAGGCTGAAGCGCTGTAAGGCGGGGATTGTTGAAGGAGGGAGTCCCGCTGGGGACTGACAGATGACAGGGAGGCCGAAGAGGGCTCAGGAAGGAGAGGAGGTGTCTGTTTCCGGCCCGGCACATAGTTGCTCCAGCTATAGAGGTACCTGATCCTCAACAATCCAGGTCAGATGCTGAGACAACATGTGGCCTTGAGCTTTAAGGAGGTGAAACAATTGAAAGAGGCTGTGGCAGTATGTTTACTCTTGCCGTGGTAGAGTCTTTTGCGGCGTTGAAACTTACACCTAGCGATTGGCAGCAGCTATGCCGTGCAGTATTACTGGGAGGAGATTACCTATTGTGGAGGGGAGAATATCAAGAAAATTGCTTACAAACGGCTAGGTTAAATGAGCAAGCGGGACAGGCACAGCGCAATTTAGACATGCTAACTGGAGCAGGAGCTTATGCTGACTTGGCCAATCAAATTGTGCTCGAGGCTATTCTCATTCAAACCACTACATTCCAGTCTCTGGCTCCCATAGGATTGAAGCCATATAATGATGCAAATCCTTTATTCCAACATCAAAAGTCCCCATAAGCCCTTCGGTCTCAACACTGTTTAAAGGTCCAGAGTCTCTCCTGAGACATCTTAATGGTAACCCCCTGAAAAGTCAAAAGCAGATTACATACTTCCAACATGCAATGACACAATATTCATTACCATTTCAAAAGGTGAGGAATTGGGAAGGATGAGACTTTTTGTACCCTGAGCACATGTGATGAATGTAATGAGAATTATTCTGTATGTTTATCATTGCTTTCCTGTCCCTGCTTTGAAACTTTAGCTATCTTGGAATAAAAGTTTCAGAGAAGCCCGGTAAAAGCTCTTGAGCAGTTCACCTAGAGTTCCATGGTTCTGCTGAATCTCAAATTCAACTTCCATTCCTCAGCACTGTTCATTGGTGGGTCAGGAGGATATTCTTCTACCAAAGAAATTAGTATACTGCTTTTCAATTTAGCCTCTAACAAATCCATAGGATGTGGGCCAGGTTATCACAGCATTGGTCTCCAGCTCAGTCACAAC